CACATTGTGAAAGGCCAACTGCTAACAATGAGACAATTTTTAAATCATTAAATTTAAAGTCAGGCTTTGCTCTCTCACTACATTGTTACATGTTCTGCCAATGTTTCCCTCAAATTCAGATTAAAGAACGCCAGATAATTTATCAGGAGGTTTACCGACAAGTCTTACTAGCATGGATTTGGAAATTTGTCAGGCAAATTTGTGATCATAGCCATGCTGCACAGCAAGGAGACGTTCCCATGTCCTAGCTGAGCTTTGCAGATTACTGCACATTGAATCAGCACCTCTGCACAGGAGGGCATGAACCATCTTCCTGGCACTACAGCTGGAAAGGTCAGATGCAAGGATAAGAAAGAAAAAAAAAAAAAAAAGTATCCTATGCAAAAGTAACCAGTTCACATGTTTATGTTTGGCAGCTCCCAGTGTTCCACTTAAAGTTATACAAAATTGTCAGAAAAGCGCTTTCAAGCCCTATTCGCCATAAAAAGCGGGTATGCTGGTAAACTCATTGGACTACAGCATACCAATGTACATGCATAAGTGAGATCTGTTTAAAGACCCACTTAGTCACTAAATATTGCGGTATGCAAACTGATATATTCTGTTCGTTCCCATTAAGCCAGGTATACAAACTGTCTACACAATACTTTTACCCCAGCATTTAGTAAACCACTGCTATAGGATCTTTTGATTAAATGTTAAAGTAGAACTGTAGGCTTTATTCCTTCATTTTGGATGGAGTAAGATCATAATCGGTCATTTTCCCCATATTTGCCATCTGTGTGCCTTTGGGAAGAATTCGCTTGTCCCATAGCCAAAACAGAAGTAAGGAAATCCCTAGGGGACCCCCGGGTCATAAGAACTAGTGCCCCCATTGGAAAAAACTTCCAATCTTAGGGGGCCCAACCAAAAAAGTTGGCAGTTTACTTTCAATAATGGTAAATCAGGACAAAATGGGAGAAACCATAAACCTGAGCTTTTTAATCCCTTGCCACTAGCAAAAACGATTGTGGTTTAAAGCCTACTTTGATGTTTGACAACTTAAAGAAAAAAAAAAGAATTTTAACCAAGCTTGTCCAAATTAACCAATTCCAGCAACAGGTATGCTTGCTGTCAGCACAGTATGAAACTGTATATAGCAGCTACATACAGTATACAACTGATCTGGCAGCAGGATAGAGGGTTCCAAGCACTGAAACAAAAGTCAGGCTGAGAAAGCTTTTCAGGGAAAACTATGAATGAATATAAGGCTTCCTCAATGAATATAAGGCTTCCTCATTTGCTGGAGTGTAAGTCATCCACCTGCCCCTCCACCTCAGCTAATTAAAGGGAGCCTTGTGTAGTTTCCTCTGAATGGCTGAGCAGCTATCAGCCCAACTCATTTGTTTTGTAAATGGAAGGTTCCATCCTGTTACCAGAACACAGCTCTATACTGTATGTAGCTGATGCCATGTACAGTTCATAAAGTGCTGAAAGAAAGTACATTGGTTAGTAAAGTTTGTTTGAACCAGCTTGATCCAAACTAAAGTTCAGCCAAACCTGCAGTTTAGGCTTTAAGACTCAACTGGTACAATGACTACTAAATTTTGGTTCCCAGTGGATGGAAAGCATTTAACTGAACAGCAACACTAGCAAGTAAACCTAAAACTGGTGTGGAAGGAGGCAAAGAAATCACAGGCACATGAGTTTGAGGAAGGAGGTATGAGGACATGAGCAAAGAGTTACCTCAAATTACCGGACTAATTCCGCAAATGAACTAGCCATGAGCAGCTTTCGTCAGGCTCCACAGGATGCACAAAACTTGACTTCTCCAAGGAAACTGCAGCTTCTGTACTTTAGGAGGATTCTCAGAAGTCAAGTCAACAGTATTTTATTATCTAATACTGTATATATTATATAAAAAGCTTGGCTATATCACCAACTACTACCTGAATGCCTTGGCATGGAATACAAAATAAAAAAAAAAAAAAAAAAAAAAAAAAAAAAAAAAAAAACAAAAAAAAAAAAACTATTAGCCATTGTAAACGTCATATTTTCTCTTCATTAGGCAACTGTTGCCTTGCATTTTTCTGGAGTACCAGTGGTTTAAACTCTGCTTTCTGTACCAAATGTCATTTGTGGAATAATTTAACAGGTCTTTATACACTGTAGATGCCCTTATAATCTGTTTATATAGATAACAGGGCATGTTCAGAATAACTGACAAACCTTTGGTTGGCTTCATAGCCGGTGGCACGCTGTAGCTATACCGCCACATGTTAACGTGCTTGCTATTCCACTTAAAACAAAAACCACTAGCATACATTATAAAAAAGGGGGAAAAAAAAAAAACACACCACCATATGTGGGAGTGTCTTGATAATTTGCAGTGTTCCTAAAACAGGCTTTGCAGTTCTATTGTGACCAGTTTCAGGCAAAACAGATTGCTAGAAAGCCGAGCAAAATTTTCCAAGGCAAAAAAAACAAACAAAAAAAAAAAGAAAAACAATGTACACTCCTTAAACATAACTTGTGTCACATCCATGTTGTGTAGAAGGTAAATGCCAGAAGCACTTTTGTTTCAGATGGTCTTTTAATAGGCTTCGTGAAGCCAAAAAACGAGAGTACAAGAAATCCATAACTACTTGATACAAATTTCTTCCAGTAAAAAAAGTGACAAATATGAACAAACGGTTTCAAGAACGTTTTGCAAGTGTTACTGGAGAGATGGAAATAAAGGGCTTTATGCCAAAGTACAAGAAATTCATAACCACCGATACAATTTTGTCCAGAAAAAAAAAAATTATAGTAATGGACAGTATAAATAAGTTTTCAAACTTCTAGCAAATGTTACTGGAGAGATTGGGAAGAAGGTTCTCTTTAGGTATATCAAGGAGGTTAAGCCACTATTTACAGCGCACCCCGGCTCCGAGTTACCTTGTTACACTAAAGGAATGTCTTCAGGTTATTAAAAAAATATAAGCATTTGGGGCCCATAAACCCCTGCAATATGTACAACAGGCATCTCAAAAGCCCATGTTGCAACAAAGATCAAGTCCAACAGCAAACCCATGCCTCAAGAAGCACTATTAACCAAAAATCTGTTGCTGATGGAGTGGATCCCCAGCCCCCCAATGCACTCCACATAACTGAAAGGGAAATTTGCCTCAAGGAAACAGCAAATGCAAGGAGTTGTTCCCATCACTACAAACATTATAAAACAAAGTGCCAAAATAAAAAATGTTAATAAAAGCAGATAGAACAGCTGTTTCACAGTTTGAGGCATCAAATATGTTTATAGAAAATGAAGACAAATAGAATAGTACATATTAATGATTCTGCGAAGCTCCAAAAATCTTTATAAATACAGCCATTGGAAGGACGATCTTGAGTCAGGAAGGTATTTTACTCGTTGTGTGAGGCTGAGGACAAGAAGCAGGCACAGTTGTAAAGACATTTTAAGATGTCAGATCCCAGCATTTTACCCCTACGCTAAGCCCAACCCACTGCTAATATTGCTTGTAGATTTTTAACAACCTGCCTACTGAGTTAAATTTTGAAACTTTATATAAATATGCATTTTTGCCAAAAAACTACTTGGGACCCCACCTAATTTCTGAAAGGGCCCTGCAGAAAATATTGGTGGCTACTGCAATTTGTTACACCAATTTGTTGCACAGCAGTTACTCCAATGCAAATTCAGGGCGAAAAGACAAATCCACCCACACCACCACACAGGTCACTTTAAAAGTAGAACTATAGGCAAAACCTTTTATTTTGAATAGAGCAAGGGTGGGCTATAACCAATTTTTTTTTTTTTTTTATGTGTCCTATTGGAGATTTCTTTGCTTCCTGTCCCATATCCAAAGAAATGAGGAAATCTCTACAAATTAAGGGAATTCCTTGGGGTGCACCAGGTGACCAAAACCATGTCCTCATTGGAAGGAGGCCTACTTTCCTGGGGACAACCCAAAATGTGGTATTTTACTTTCAATGAAAATTGTAACAGGAAAAGTGAATCCCAAACCGCGACACATACAGCAGTAAAAACCTGTCAAGTGTTCTAATCCCTCCACTATCCAAAGCTAAAAAAGTTTTGCCTTTCCTTGTAATTTTGGTGCACACAATATCAATTTGTTTGTAAAATAAAATATATTGCTGTGCCAGGTAGAAAGCAAACACATGGTTTAAAATGGAGCAAGCCCATGGAATACATACAATACATTTTCCATAGGCAGCACTTTTATAGGGTACCAAGTTAAAGTCTAACAAGGTCTGATATTAGAATTCTTGCCCTGAAGCTTGCAGTGATACCTCATGTGCAGTGCAAACTGTTTATATATGCGTTTATGACTCATGTGCACATTTGCAGGGAGGAGGTGGCTTTAAATTCTTTACACCATCTTGGATTAAACTGGATGTTATTGCCATCACAAGAAATTAAAACTATTACTACAAGTGATGAATATCCCTTAGGATAGATAGCTGGGGCAGCATCTTATTCCCTATGGAAGAAAAACAAAAAAACAAAGACAGATCTCTCCTCCTGCCCTCAAATGTAGCCAGTTCAGTTTGATCAGATGCTTTACAAGTTGCTAACAGCTTGTAAACAAACCAAAACAAGTAATACCAGTTGCTTTCGGCTTCATCTATAAACAGAGGGGAGGAACAGGATTGTACCTGCTCATACTCTGTACTCATCCAGCCACACAGAATGCAGCATCCTGGGCTCCCTAATCATGCCTGGGAGCAGACGGTAGGTAGCCCCTTCCACATCCTGTAAAAGTGATCATGAGGCTGTGGAGACGCTTAGATCACTTTTACAGGAAAGCCTATAACTAGGTGAAAAATTTTAAACCAGGATCATGGATGCAAGCTGCAGCCATGATCCTAGTATAACTACTTCCTGACAAGGACACTGGTCATGAAGGGGTTAAACACTGACAAGTGTCACTTGTTTGGCTGTTGAGAATAAGCAAGCCTTTCCAGATACCACTGAGTAGCATTAAGCCCCCAAATCCTCACATTACACCCCTCTGCTTTGACTTACCATAGCTGTCATAACTGTCTCTGTAGGAGCGATCACCATAACTTCCTTGACTCCTGCCACTAAAACCAAAAATTGTACAAGTCAACAATCAGCATTCCAGAAAAAGTGCCCACTAATTCTTTCACGCAAACAAAAAATAAAGTGACCTTACCTGCTATAATAATCCCGGGATCCACCACCATAGCCTCCACTTCTGCTGTCAAACCGGCTGCTTCCATAACCACGGTCACCACCACCTTAACCACAAAAAAAAAAAAAAATGTCAACTTTGTGCTACCACAGCAAAATAAGCATCTACCCCATCTAGCGGGAAGAGGAACTTCACCTTCTTAATCAGCATTGGCCATTTTTAATCCTTATGCTGATAACATTAAACAGGTAGAAAAGTATATTGTTTACTCGTTTTAAAATGTCCCTATATTCCTTCAGTTACTTAGTCTTCAGGTGGGGTTCTTGGCGAATCACAGCCTCATGCCTACATGTCTGAGCTAACCAAAAGTGGCATTTTTGTAAAAAAAATAAATCCTTGACTAAAACTGAAATTTGACAAACAGTGGGCAAAAAGCAATATTCTTGTTTGTTCACACCGCATTGTTTTATGCATAAAGAGGTTACCTAATTTCATTAACAGAACTGTTATATTCAGGCAATATGTGCAATGGCATAACAGCTTAGTTTTTTTTTTTTTTTTTAAGTTGCACTTGTTTGTCAAAAAGAAGTTTATGAAACAGCAGACTTCAGACAGAAAATACAACATTTTAGATTTAGTTATCTAGATCAAGAGATGAATTTCTCTTGAAAGGCACCCTGGTCCATCATGTTCTCACTTTGCCAACACCCCTGGCACCAGAATCAGACATGGAGAGGAGACTCCAGTACCTTGCGCAACTGTGCTTGGCCATGGTGATCTGGTAGACCAGAGCACTACCACGTGCTCCACCAATATCTAAAAGCAACAGGTATTCACCTAGCAGAAGCAGCACTGGCAAGGCAAGTTCCAGTAAGTCAGACATTGTGACTTTGCCCTGAATAAGATGCGACAGCAAGTTCCTATAGGACTCATGCTTACAGTGTTCAACCCAATTGGATTCTAGGCATAGACTGTACATTGGAGTCTCAGCCAAAGTAGGGCTGCACAGGTCTCACAGAAGTCAACCTAAAAGCCAGTGCTAGTACTGCCTGAACTTCAGTACTAAAGTTACTACAGGTTTCAGATTTGGTCTGACTCATAATGAAGCAAGCCTCTCAGTGCATTTACATAAACAAAAATCCTGTATGAAAAACCCACATTAGAAAATCTGAAACTCAAATTTGTGCAGGAAATTCCACTAGTATACGACCAGTTAAAAGGTTTTGTACTCTATACTTTTAAGCCTCAACTACCATCACGTATTTTTGTACATACCACGACCTCTACCTCCACGGAAGAACCCTCTTCCTCCAGATGAGCCGCCTCTGTAGCCTCCTCGCCTGTCACTGGAGGACTTCCCAGCATGATCAACACGAATCTGACGTCCATCCACAGTCTAAAAAGTTAGAATTTTTGTATTAGATTAGGCATCAGGCAATTTTACTTAGTTTCAGAAAGGAAATTTATTTAGCTTTGGAAAATGGCACAATGACTAATGTGGAACTTCACCCTAAAGGGGTACCTAGCTTTCTCAGGTATATTGCTCCCACTTCTAAAGTTCCCCCACACTTCTGGAACACACCATAGGTTGGCAGGAGGCTGCAAAACTTCACACAGCAGACATGTGCAGCATGAAGCCATAACTGGATTCACACTAAAAATTACAGAGATCTGAGCATGGGCCCAAAACCAGCCAATGTGAGGACAATGCTGGATCCTCAGACAGATAAACATGCTATTAAAAACGAAGCTACAGGATTTGTAGCCGAGACTTAATTTTTTAAAAACCTGACTGAAGAACCTTTTAGAGATAATGTACACATGTGTGAACTGAAGTGCAGGTTTCACAGCTAATTGATACAGTAGTTCAGTGGGTTCACGTCAGGACCAGGACAGCATTGTTTCCTGCTTACTTGAGGTATAGAAACAGTGCCCACACCTGAGCCGGACTGCCCAGAAATCATACAGGACTTTAGAACTGCACCAGACACCATAGAAAGCAATGTTTCACATGTCATGTGCACTGGATGCAGTTCAACTTGCACGTTAACCAGCACTAAAGCCTAATGCAGAAGATCAAAAGGAAAATTTAAAAAAAAAAAAAAAAAAAAAAAAAAAAGGGGGGGGGGGGGGGGGGGGGAGGAGACCAAGACTCAGAAGAGGAATTACACAACTTCTGAAATTTTATTCGTTTGTAGAAAAGCTATTTCATTCCCAATAGGAGACTGACAAGAGAACAAAAGCCACACCCAATAAAGGAAACCCCCAGGCCAATCATTCATCTGATATTGTCATGCGTACAAGGCTTGAAGCTCTGTTCAGGAGGATTTCAGTAGGCAATTGCATCACACAATGGAAAGCACATTGTTTTCAATGGTGCCCTTTCACACCAATGCAAGGCCACATGGAGCGATTTTAGAAAAAAGTGTTCCTGTACTAAGTTTGTGGGACTCCAGTGTGATGTTGGCCCCAGTGAATAAACCAATCCCAGTGAAATTGCATCCACAATGGCACTGAACATGTGAAAAGCAGCATGACCCTAATCTAAATCTACAACTTGTACAGTTCTAATTGCTCACCTTTCCATTCATCATCCCCTGCAAGGCATCCTTCGCATCGTCACAATTTTCATAGGTGATGAAACCAAAGCCACGGGATCTCTTGGTCTCCCGATCCTTCACCACAACCACTGGAACAAAAAAAAAAAAAAAAAAAAGGGAAAGTCTTACAAGCCAGCCAGGGAATGAAGTCAGAAGACTGGACACGTGTTTATACAAACTCACCCTCACATACGTGTCCGTATTTACCGAACACTTCTTCCAGACTTTGCTCGGTTGTCTCAAAGCTGAGCCCTCCAACAAACAGCTTTCCTTCGTCAGACGACATGATGAGATCTGCGGAAAGACAAAATGGCGCCGGCCGGTAAGTCTAACGTGCTCACAAAATGGCGGCTGAGCAGCTTACGTCATCTTTCCTGCACGACCCCTCCCCTATTCCAGTCACCGCCCGGTAAAAACCGCCAAGAACAGGACCGCGGGAAGAAAGCAGGGAGGGGGCAGCCGGGCCAACGCTGCTTCGGAGTAAAACACAGTAATTCCCTCAGGGCGCAACGCTCCCCGTTTACAAAAATAGACGGCGCCTCATACCACCGCTCTACAGCACACACGGTACATTAGGAGGTGACCGGAAACTACAAGTCGATTTACTAAATATATATACACATCACACTAACAGCAAAAAAGCCGACTATAAACAGTCTCCGCTCCAACCTCCTCCCTAACAAAGCCGCCCGCCATCACATACATTACCTTATCCACGTACAAAGCAGAAGTCACACAGAAACCAGCAATGCAGAGTGCGCAATGTGCTCTCGACTCCTCCTTATATAGAGCAGTGTGGCCTCGCCCACCACATGATTAATTCATCACCGCGGCGGACTGTACCATCTACTTCCGCCTACACGCTTGCCTCAATGTTATCTACATATTGTTGCGGCAGAAATCTGAGTGTCAATTGAAATTACGTTTTCATATATAATCATGTCAAATGTACTGAATAAATATCGTTAGTCGACATAATTTAGTTGGTAACCCCCCCCCCCCCTCCTCGAGATCGTGTAGTCTGCACAACCACTGTAGTGCGGGCGGGAGAGCGTACTGTACTGTGATTGGCTTTACGTGACCGGTAAGGGCGGGAGAGCCTACTGTACTGCATATGATTGGCTGTACCTGAACCGGTGAGCTAACTGGGTCATTCTATAGGGAGGTGCAGCAAACAAGGCGTTGTCGGCGAGGGGTGTGTTGTGTTTGGGGAGTGATTGCCTTAATAGCTTTATTTACGCAACTCGGCCGCTTTTTTTTTTTTTAAACGGTGCGGACAAGCTTGGCATAACTAAGATGGCGCTGCTATAAGGAAAACGTGGCCTTGGAACATGTGCGGCAGCTTGACTTCCTGAGTAGTACAATGGCTGCAACAGCACCATCAATGTGTATACATAAATATGGGTATACATGGAGAGATTTTTTTTTTTTTGTAATCCTACCAGCGAACTGAATAAAAAAAAAAACTCCAGCTCCCTGCCTCCACAGAAGTGAGATGGATACAGGGATCTCCAGAGCTGTATTGTATTCAGAGAGCAGGGATTCCCCCGGGCAGGACACCCTGATCAGTGCTGCACCAGCTGATCAAATGCTGCTTTTCCAGCAGGGCCACAGTAGTACCCACAAATCTACATTTGCACATGGATACTGCTGAGCTGGACAGATTTCAATATTTGTATACCTAGCTTAAAGCAGAACATCACCCTAAAGGGTGACACCCTTCCCCCCCATCTTCTATTTGTAGCACTACCCCTTTAGTTGCTGAAGTTTTGGGTCCCCCCTATAGTCCTGCACGGCCAGGCAACACATATTTCCACATCAACTTGCGTTTAGGAGTCAGTAACTGGTCCTTGAGCTTGTTTTGTGGACTTTATTAGGGGGATTTCAACTTGGATGGGGTAAGGGGTGTATGGGATGCTCAATGGAACTGAGAACAACTTCCTGAACTATGTACAGTGGTCACAGCAAACAGTCTCTTCTGGAGAGCTAGCCATCGTCTCCTGTAGTACCAACCCAGACCCTAGATACTCTTTATCCAGCTGTTCTGGGTGAATCCCTGAGCAGGGGATCCGGTGTCTGCCACATAAATAGTGAAATAGTCCTGGGTGGCAGGGTAATCCAGCTTCCCACTAGAGTGCTTCCTTCCCCTTTCTGGCCTAGGGGGTGCAGGTCTACTCAGTCAGTCCTGTGCTGCTGGTGGATTGGTGGCTGCTACCAGGCCTTTTAGCTGGGCCACTCCTTCCCCGCTGCACAGGTGGTCCTTGCTCTGGGAGGTGGTGAAGGTCTGAGCTTTCCTTCTTCCAAACTCCACTGCCTGTAGGTGAGCCCCTCTCTATCTGGGCCCCCTCCCAGGTTCCTCTTTTTAGCCTCACTCCATCTCCAACTTCCACCCGAACCCTCCCCTGCTAAGCAGGCTCAGTGTTACTCTTAAAGGTTGTCCTGGCCCCTTTCCAAGCCTCTGGTTGGGGATTGGCCAGGGTCCTCTAAAAGTACAGATCAGACACTCCTCAGATCCACCAACTGCTTCTAGACCTTTCGCCAAAGTTCTAGAGCAGGGGTAAATTCCAGAGGGCTGGTCTTCAGAGCCTCTCATTTGACCCCTGCTACCTATCACACCTAGGCTGCTGCTCAGCCCTCCTCACAAACAATTGTAGTCTGGCTACCTCTAGCTGACTAAGAGGGTGCTATGTATTAATGGCACAGGCTTGCCAGGTACCCGCTTCCACTTCTGGTCAGATCACCAAAGTGTTCCACTGGAAGTCCCCCCCCCCCCTTCCTTGCAACCATCTAGGACAAGTCATAGGTCCTAGAAGGCTGAGGGTTCAGTTAAAAAAACACAGTATAGCTCGTGCATGCGCAGCAGGCTGCCTATAGTTAACATGCCGAAGGCAAGAAAAGGACCAGTTCGGGTGAGGACGGTACTGGACCCCTGGACAGGTGAGTGTCCTTCTATTAAAAATCAGCTACAGTATTTTTTTGAAACGGCAAATAACTGCTTTCAGATAGGTACCATGGAGGAATTAGCCGCTCAGAAAAGACAAAGGAATTAATTGCAGAGATGCATGTACGCAGTACTTAGGCCCCTTTCACACAAGCATTCTCTTTTTCTCATCAGTTTTTTTTAAAAGAAAAAACGGATCAGTATTTATGTCACTTTTTTCTTCAGTTTTTAGATCAGGGTGTAAAACCCTCTCTCTGCTATAGGCAACCCAGTCATTCTGCCTAGTGTCTTCAGGAGTATGGACAATATTTTGTGCTGGAACTTGTGGTCCCATAGCTTTTACTTTTCCTGTGGAGATCTTCTATCAACAGTTGGGCTCAGCGACAGGCTGGATAATCTAGATCCAGTGGTCACTCCAGTCTGACCAGCAAGCGTGCGCTGATCACTAGCTCAGCACTCGGTTGGCCATGACTATGCCCCATCCTGGACCAGGGTGGCCAGTGAGTTAAACATCTTGCGGGGACAAATATTACCAAGCGCCTATAGTCTGTGTCACAGCATGACCCTGGCTGACATCCCCCCCACTTCGTTGGAGAGGAGGATCTCTCTCGGAAGTGTTGCCTGCACCTTCCATGGATTGGCAGGTAGATGCCTCCCTCTGGGGGCATGATGCAAGGCGTGGGTACTCCCCGGGGTGCTCAGACCCTACAGGCTCTCCTCCCCCACTACAGGCCTGGACTCCTATACCAATCCCCCCTCCTGCCCTCCCCACCAGGCTAGGAGCAGTTGCGGATACCTTACCCCCCTGGGGACACAATGCTTCCTCCTGTAGAGTTGTCCTACCAGCGCTCAGGATGGGTGGATGGCCCCAGGGTCTCGGCCAGCAGAGGTCCACAAGTGTCTAGGTGGCTCTGTTGTATGGGGGCTGTCACTGTGCTGGTAGAATGGCATGGCCTGGTGCCCCTGTGGGCAGACCTGAGCTGTTGTGCCCGCCGTTTTGATTGAGGTTGTTAGCCCTCCTCACTGTGGCTCCTGCCAACACTTTGCCTTGGTGGACTGAACGGTGGTGGACAGGGCTAGGGTAAGCAGCCCCCTTTGCCAGGCTGTTGCGGCTGTCATGGTTTGGTTGTGGGCACTCACTTTTTTTTTGCCTGTTTTTATATTGTACATACCATGCATTCGGTCCGAGGCCTGAGAAAAAAAAATGAAGGGCCCTTTACTGCCATCACTGAGCCCTTTATTATGGTCCTGCAGTGGGCCCACTTCCTGCGCTTACATTAGAACCCCCTTACATTAGAGTTCCCAATGTTCCCAGAGCCCACCTTACATCATTGTTCCCCTTTACAGTGCAAGGGGGAACTCTGCAGAACGTGATGTAAAGGGGAACTCTGTGGACCATGATGTAAAGGGGAACTCTGCGGACCCTGAAGTAAAGGGAACTCTGCGAACCCTGATGTAAAGAGAAACTCTGCTGACCCTGATGTAATGGGGACTGTTGCATGATGTAAAGGGAAACTCTTTTGGCGTTTTGTGTGCAATGTGTCAGATTTGGCTTTTTGTTTCTCCACTTTTTTGTGTCATACCAATACAAACAAAAGAAACAAACATGAGAATGCCTAAACATTTGTAATTGCAACAATTTTCTTGGCGAAGTGGTGCATTATCTGACAGAATATTTTTGGTCATAACTGTACCTTAGGGTCCCCACTACCCCTTACATCAGTGACCCCCCATAGAGTGACTGACTTCCATGGCCTTTGTGGCCTGGAGCTGTCTTACACTGACCTGCAATTGCCAGCAGGCTTTGACCCTCCTCTCCCCCCACGCTCCTTCCTTGCAGTCACTTTCAAATTTTCTGGAAAGGCGCCAAGCACCATGACATCACCACGCACCTGATCAGCAGCCTGCAACCTCTCCTGCTCAAGCCAAGCCAGAGCCAAGATCAAACAATTACTAATAGGCAGGCTCCAAAGCTGCTCAGAGCCCAGGTGCATGGTCCACAAGGGTATATGCAGGATGGTGAACGCATGACAGTATGGAGCAGTCACCCATTTTTTCTTGTTGCTACCCTTTCACCTGTGTTTTGTGCTGACGCATTCGTGTACATGGCAGTTGGTGCCCTCATACTACAGGGCCATAACGTAGCGAAGGCTTGTGCTGGGCTGAGGCTGGACATGCTGCCGTGCCTGTCTTTTTTACCTTTGGGAATTTCCCCCCTTGATTCTGCTGTCACTTTCACAAGGGCTCTCTGTCGTGCTGGGAGCAGCTGTGCTGTTGCCCAGCAGATATAGTGCAGTTTAAGGGCTCCTGCTAGTTGGGTGGCAGCTCAGTAATGCTCCATGCACAA